TTATAAAACGAGATAAAGTTCTCTTTTTTATATTAATTGGTGCATTGTAAGAGTATTTATTTATTTATTGGGACATTTATATATTTCTGCTTTCATTTTTAAACATGTCACTTTTCGTCCTCCATACCCCGTGCAGTGACATCATCGGCAGCACAGTGTGTTTTACAGGTTTCTGGACTCACGGTCAGGATTCCTGTCAGCTGCGTGTGAAACAAGCTGGTCATCCCAGCGAACATGACCACGCCCGTCAGCGCCGAGACCCGCAGCAGAGCCAGTTCGTGACGAGTCGTGAACTTGTCCTGGGAGACAGAACCGGATAAGGTCCAGCTTTACTTGACAACAGAGCTGCTTGTTTTGTATAAGAGCTGCACACGACTCAAAGCAAAGAATACAGATCTACCTGATCCAGCCTCGTCAGCGGCTGGAAGTAGTAGTACTGACAGAAGTCCAGCACCAGCGTGAATAAACTGAGGATCTGAGTGTAAAAACACAGCTGCAGGAAGAGCCAGTGATTGTCTTCTCCCACACAGTTATTTATCCTGCAAGATAAAAGACAAAGGTTTAAGATCAGGAGCGTGTCGAGGTTTGGTTACCAACAGGATCAACAGGTTTGTGTGAGGGTTCGTTGGGTTTACGGTGCATTGAAGAAGTATTCAAACTTTTCCACACTTTGTCGTCTTACAGACCAACACAAAGTCGTCCATCCATCCTGTTTCWAGGTAGGATTTTGGAAGAGGGCGTTGTTTTACCCAGACCCAAGGCTCATTGATTGGTTCACTGACCGGGGAGGCGGGGTTACATCACACAGATGAGAGTATCTTTAATGAATCGTTTGCAGTGACTCTAACAGTTTTTAACACAAGTTTAAATACACAACGACAGTAGCTAGCTCACAAACAACAAGCTAACATTAGCTACCATTAGCTTACAGATCTCAGTCATCCTGCTGTAGTTTTAACTGTCTTGAATGTTCGTAGAAATGGTTTTTACCAGCTTCTACCCAAGATTCAGATGTTTCTGTAGGTACCACACACGTCTATGTTTAACTAAAATAACTTAGAGTAATTAAAGTAGAAACTGAGGGTTTGGGCTWAAGAAATGAATGAACCAATTGGCGGGACGAACTGGGCCGCCAGTTGAATAACCCTGGTCTGTGTACTTTTATATTGTTCTGTATGTTTGAAATACCTGGCTGCCAAACAAATTTCCCCCTCGGGGGACAGTAAAGGAAATGAACTGACTTTAGGTGGAAACAGGCTGCACACCTTCCACTCAGGTAGGAGATCAGGAAGTCAGGGTTAGGTTTCAAGGAACATAAATTAGAAGCAAGGTTATTAAAGTTAACTAAAACTAACTAAATAATGAAAACTGAAATTAAAAAAACATTTTAGCTAACTGAAATAAATAAAAACTGTAATAAAAGGAAAAAAGATAACTAACTGTATAATCTTTTTACTAAACAAACTAAAACTAACTGAAATAATAGAATATCCACAGTTTTAATGTTTGTTAATTTATTTTGAGCCGTGTGGACTGATTAAACTATATTTTAAATTGAGCAATTCCATATTAGCTGTGGACAGCTTATGGCACACTATGATCCGTAACGTCATCTGTTTACAGTCTGCTGCTGCTCAGCACTCACCTGCAAAATAACGTCAACAAAAGTTGGAGAAAGTAGTAAAGTCCGATTTGGAATATGACTGTGAGAAAATTAAAAGTGTTTTGTAGTGGAAACAGGTAATAGAATAGGTGGAATAATTATCAAGGGACTAATTAAATGAGTATCTTGACAAGCTAGCTTTTCTTAGTTCCCGTGAAAAACAAGCTGTAGCCCAGCCAGGTAGCACTAACTACTGTCACCTTCTTAAAACAATTGCCCAAGTCCTTTGTTGGCAAAATTGAGTTACGGGATTATTTTAGGAAGGTGTTGCTATAACATACTGCTTTGACTGGTGTTCAGAAACCTGCTGGTTAGTTAACTCACAGGAATACTTCAAGCTGGAGGTTGCATTGGCAAATGTGTTTATTCAAACTATAAAAAATACTTGAACCAATAAAAACTAAACTAAACTAAAACTAAGCATTAAAAAAGCAATAATAACTAATAAAAACTAAACTAAATCTAAGCATTAAAAATGCAATAATTAATAAT